TATATAAAAGTTAAGAATTTTTATAATCACTATTTTTATCTCTTACTTTGATTTAAGTCGGTAAAAAAAAGGGAGATACTATCTTCTATATATAAAAATTCATTTCAAGGTTTCAAAAGTAGGTATACGAGATTTTTTAGATTTTTATGTTTAATAGTTTTGAATAATAAAAACAATTTGCTGTAAACCTCAATATTTATCTCATTTAACGGATCAAGATTAAAAATTTCATATTGCCGGTGGAAGTTGAATGTAACAAATATTATATAGTCGACAAATGTTAAATCTGATGTATGCATCATAGATGCCTCATACTCCTCATACGCCACACACTCCGCAATCTACTCCTCATACACCGGCTGGTGGTGCCAGTGGGCCACCGAGCGTTCCGCCCGCGTCGCAAGAATCCACAGGAAACCACAACACCTCCGGTAATACGAGTACAACCATAAATAACGATACCGCTGCAGACATACCGTCGGACTTAAATTTCGATCCCGCTGCAGTTATAGATGGAGAAGGTACCGGTCAAGAGGCGTTAAATGTAAGTACTTTGCATTGTTTTTAAATTATCACATCATATCTTTGCAAACTGAAATATTTTTTAAATCGAAATCGCGTTTTACAAGTTTGTTTAATAATAATAATATATATATATATATATATATATGTATATACTGTTTATTTATAGCTTTTGCCAGACAATGTGGATGCAATGGAACTTCTGTCGTATCTCGATCCACCGGACCTAAATACTCCACCTAGTAGCGGAGCTAGCAGTGGTAATCCTTCCTCTAACGACGATATATTGGCACTCTTTGAATAAGAAAAAAATAAGATAAAAGGCGAGTGACTCTCTGATTCGTAAAGATGTAATCAAATTGTGACCCTTCCACTTTGTAATGAAGTGATAAACGAGAAAACATCTTGCTGCAAACGTTCTTGTGACTACAGTATATTTTCGTGCAAATTTCTTAGAATCCTGTGGAATGAACGAAATTGAACAAGACATTCAATTTTTATCCCTGATAAGAGAATAAATTCGGAAATTTACTGTATATGAACGCTTGCGGTACAAGATATTAAATTTTATTGGGGTCAACTGTGGGTGCTCTCACCTAATCAATGGTACAAATAATCTTAATTATAATTATAATATTCCTATTAAAATTAGAATTAAAAGGCTAGGATTAAAAAATGATTTTTAACGATAATACGGCAAACACCATATTATTTGTAAAGACGTTATTGCATGGACAGCATTATCGATATTGTATATATTATTGAAAGATATGTTTTTGAGAATCTGAGAAGACAGAGAAAAAGAGCGTGTTAAACGATACATTAGGCAAATATTCCAGAAACGATTTTAAAAGAGCGTAATTATATGTTTAAAATAAATGATATTGTAATAGATATTCAACTGTTATAAATGATGTATTAGAGTCAATAAAAGACATTTAAAAAATTATTGTTAATTTGTTTTGGGTCTGTCTCATAAGATGGAATTTTTATATATTTATGTGTTTATTTCATTAAAATAAATTATACTAATCGATGAAACTTTGTTTTGTTGGATTATTTATGAACATTTGCTCGAAAGGAAAATGATGCTGTGTTAATTTATGTATATCGTTTCGGAATATTTCAGAATGTTGTTGGTGCAATAATGTCTTTATACACGAAAATCGGTCTATTTGCATTCAAGGCTATGATAGACCTATGTCGCAACAAAAAAATACTTGTACAGACCTACTTTTGTAAATAAATTTTAATCGAGATAAGAGTAAGATATTCATCGATTGGGAATTTCCCGCCTATTGACGAATATTGTGCATATAGTGTTCCTTTCCTTTAGATTGTAGCACAACAGATGAAAATAAATAAACTAGGGGATATCGGGCTTCACACTGGAAATTCAATAAGATGTGATGTATCTCCCGAGATAGAAGTTATAAATGTGAAATAAAAAAAAATATTAAAAATTGATTTAAATAATGTTTTTAAAAGAAGAATTTTTAGGAAATATTTTCGCTCCATAAGGATATCTTTATATGCACATATGTTTTTACTGTTATAAATAAATGACAAAGATAAAAAATGCATGTGCATATATATTCATTTCAGAAATTTTAATATTTTAAGTATTATTTTTTAATTATTTTCAAAATTTCTCTTTTGCACTAATACAAATTGTAATTTTGAGTCAGCAATATTTTATTTTAGACAAAATTTATATACATATTTATACATTATATATGTTT